TAATGGTAATATTTAAAAATGTCTGGTTTATATTATTAAAAGCAACATAAAAACGTCACCGTTCACAGTTCACATTGGAATCCCGTATCATTCATTCTTTTTACTCAGTTGGATCAAGTTTTGTGATGCAAAGACATTTGTTGCTAATTTAGTTTTTAAAAACAAGTTATTCCGCTTTAAACTATTATCCTTATTGGTGATGTAGTCAATAGTTTTAAAATATAAAGATTACAAGTGTTGTGAGGTTAAAATGAAGTGTGTTTTATTTATATTTCTCTTTGTTATTAGTGAGGTAGTTTGTCAGGGCAATTGGAAGTTTGTTGGAAATCCTTTAATACATGCATACCCTTGTAAAAATGTTAAAGATATTATAGTTTCCTTTGAACCTGGATTACCTGAGGACAAGAATAATGTATATAGTGTTTTGATAGATAGAAATTTACCAGCGTTTTCTGAAATTGATATACAAACTGATTCGGATGCTGTTTTAAAACTGGTAAGTCATGTTTTACTGTTTTAATATATTTTAATACTTATAAAGCTTAATATCTACAAAAATGTAGAGAAAATCTATATCTATACTACTATAATAAAGCGTAAACACACACTTTGTTGCCTACGATGTCAGTAACTACAGCATATTTTTGAATAATTCATTTTTTAATAGAAAGCCCTACATTTATGTCACGCTTTAGACTATATATTTTCACGGCATTAAACTTAGGTGGTAAATATTTTGGATAAAAACCCTAATGTTGGAAAGAGACCATAAGTTGCCAACATCAAGGAAGCAAGGTTGTCATCGTGTCATGTCGTCATTTTGACATTTGCAATTGATAATTTGACAAATAAATTTGTAATTTCATGCGTATGAAGCCGCACGGGAACAATTAGTTAAATTATAAAAGTTATGTAGAATTGTTTGTTTGTTGTTTTGGCTTTAAAAGTTACTAAAACGTCTGAAAAAGAATAAATACAAGATAGATATTTCTACATTATAAAATGATCAATTTCCCACTGGAATTCCCAAAATAAACAAAGCGATCGCTGCCTATATACATCCGCATTTACAGATGAATTACCTTTAATCAACAGAGAAGGGGACGCACAAAACAGGACATTTCTACTAAATGCACTTCCCCTTTTCATCCTGTCCTTCGAAAACGTAAAGGACTAGAATCAGGCCTCGGACACGCACATTCATCATAACGCGACCTATATTCACTTCCCGCCTATAATCTGTGTGGTCGTGGTATTACACTGGTCCATTTGTGAAGTAATGCTCTACCAGTTATTTTGGCATTCCTATCGTTCTCCTATAAAAAAAAATAAGCTTCACATGTTTTATTTATAACTCGCAGTAAAACTAAAAGATCGTAACATCTAATCTAAAAAATTAACAAATAAATAAATAAATAACCGATTTTCTAAATATTAAGCATCAAGAAACAAACTTATTAACTTTTACAACACTAATCAATCACGACTTACATGCGATAAACATTGTAAGTCATATGAACTTTGGAGGTCAACGAACTAAGTACAAGTACTAATAAAAAAACGTTAACCCAAGTGAGGTGAATGTTTACATTCTCCTTATTGCTTATTGCATCTTTATTAATAAGCTAAATTAACCAATTTGTTCATTTAATAAATACATTGTCATCTTAACACTAGTTGTTGCTTGCGACTTAGTCCGCGTAAAAATAATATAAAAATAACCTTTGTTATTCAGTGATAACATAGCTTTTCAACGGTGTAAGAATTTTTGAAATCGGTTTAATCGTTTTTGAATTATTCCAATTCATGCAAAAATAAAAATCTTTCATATTTATAATTTTAGTAACTATAGTTATATTCTACTATTCTATTCGGCTGCCCTAAAATTAGGGCCTCTATGGCTCCATCTTTCGTATAATTTACCTCATAGGTCACAAGCCTTTCCCCTTTACGCAGACTCAAGTAAGTCCAAAAATCTTCGCGTCGTATCTTAACTCATGTTACGAATAAATCTGTACTAATATCAAAAAAGGGGGAGATTTGTATTTTAGTATGTAAGGAATAAACTTATAATTTATTGCACTAAGTTCAAAGATTTCGAAAACTACAAGCCAATATCAGTCAAGATTAGTATGGTCACGGTAATTGTTAGTGTGCGCACCTGAAACTAAATTATCGCACAACTGTTCAGTCTCGCTTTGATTCCTATGAGTTTATATGGAGGTACATTACTCGATTTTTAGTTGTGCAAAACAGTTGAATTGGCTGCGAAACAATCGACAATCGCACAACTGTTCTTCGATTGTCGATTGTTTCGCTCGCTTTTAACCTTAGTAAAGGGCAGCGTTGTCATTTGTGCATTTGAATTTTAATATTTGCAATTAAATCCAACAGTGGTAGTGCCCGCTTTAACATCTTAGCACTGCAGGGCCGGCACGCCCGGTGTAATACCACGACCACACAGAAGACACCCGTCAAATGGAAGCAATTCCGTGTTTCGTCTGATGAGTGTGGTGACGGAGGCCTAATTTAAGTCCCTTTCTCTTTACCACCTTTTTCTTATAAGGAGAGGATGGGAAGGGGAATTGAATTTGACGGTGAAGGAGATGCATAGAAAGGGGAAATATCCTCTTTATGTTCTCCTCCTCCGTCGGATAAGGGTAGGCAACGCATCTGCAATTGCGTATGTCTATGGGCAGCGATCGCTTCACCATTTTGGCGGATTCAGGTAGCCGCTCGCTCGTTTGCTACCTTATGTTATAAAAAAACAAACGTTAAGAGTAAAATAAAGTTTTTATTATTTCAAGCGGATGAATCCTCATAGGGATAGCTTGTAATTAAATAACATTAGTAACATATGGTCAACAAAATTACGTTGTTTGTTGTCATACGGGGAAAATCAAAAGGTCGTATTCTAATACGATAAATGGACAAACCAACATCGCGTTTTGCATATAAATGTGCACTATATTATGTTTTTCCTAATTTATTAAAACACTGGCTGTAATTATAAAAACTTTATTTTATTGTTTACATTTGTCAAATTAATAATAGCAAATGTAAAAATGATATGACATGACAAACCTTAGTAATCTTTCTTTCTTGATGTTGGCAGCAACTTATGGTCTCTTTCCCACATTAAGGTTTTTATCCTAAATGTTTACCCCTAAGTTTATTGTTAAAATTACCGTTAGCATAATAATCTTGCTTCCTTAATGTTGACAGCCTGCAGTTTATGGTCCCTTTCCCACATGAAGGCTTTTTTCAATTTATTTACCCCCTAAGTTTAATAGCGTATAAATATATAGCCTAAAGCGTGAAGTAAGTGTAGAGCTTCTTATTAAAAAAAGACTTCAAAAAAATGCTGTAATTGCTGACATCTTAGGCAACAAAGAAGTGTGTGTTTACGCTTTAAAATATCAGTCTGATGATTGATGTCAATGATTTTTCTATTAAACAATTAGTATTAATTGATTTTGTAATAAATTTTACTTTCAGGCGGACAAAGAGAAGGGCAGATTAAGTGTATCTGGCCCAGATACTTTTAACATAAGAATCATAAATGAGACTAATTCAATTTCGTTCGCAGTCAAAGGTCCACCATCAGGCGGACTACCATATTTTTATAGTATAAAACTAAACTCGGTCGAATTATGCACTAATCCCAGAAAGGTAAGTCAGTTTACATTTAATTTTACTCTTACAAATATAGTCTTAAATGCATGATTTTTTTAAATACTGTAAATTGAACAGAGATTAAGGGAAAAAAAAGAAAAAAAATATTTTCAATATAATTGTGTAAGGAAGAAAAGACAGATGTATGAATCATCCATTTAAGGGTTAAATCATGATTATTCATTTAAACAAATCAAGAGGATTTTAAAGTTTAAATCTTGTTAAACGATTTGATTTTGCGAAAGAAAGTACAGACAATCTTATTAGTGAAACGACATTCTCTCGACTTAAACAAAAATTAGTAAAACATTTTCACTATCTAGTATTATCAAAAACAATCTTTCATCATCTCAAAACATCATCCAAGTCTTTTATAAGTCAAAAATAATAATAATAATAATAATAATAATAATAATAAGCCTTTATTCAGATAATTAATGTCACATTACATAATTGAGTTGAATATTGAATTATCTGTGTGTCCAAGTTGGACATAGGCCTCTTCCAATTTCTTCCATTCTCCCCTTCTTTTTGCCTTTCTTGACCAGGTCTCTCCTGCAGCCTTTTTTATGTCATCTTCCCATCGTTTGTGTTGTCTTC